CTTCTGCTTTATTATTATTTAATGCATTTTCCTCGCAGTTTATTACTATTTTCTTCAATACTTTCACTTTGTAATAAAAATGTTTTATTATATAAGCTTTAGTGTGCTTTTTTCGTCACTCCCGTCCCGTCCGCTTCGCTCTGATCATTATGCTTTTTTCTCTTTGCTTTTACATTTCACTGCCCATGATTTCATTTTGTTTTTTTTTTTTTTCATCTCTCTATCTTCTTCCTTTGCTTACTCTCTTCGTCTCTCTCTATCACTAACTATCGCTGGTTATCTCCATCTCACTGTTTCTCTACCTGTAATTATATCGCTTCCTTTGTCTCTCCCAGCCTGCAATTGTATATATTTTTCTCTAGCTATCTTTGTCTATCACTGTCTCTCCATTTTTAGCTAGCAATATCTTTCCTCCTGGCTGGCTATCTATATCTTTCTTTCAATGTCGTCTCTATGTCCCTAGCGTAGAATTGATCTCATCGCTTTCGCCTTTAAAGGTTTAAAAAGATTAAAGAACTAAATCTTAATCAAATGCATCAATTAATATGAAAATTTTGACTTTACTCTTATAATAATTCCTGAGAGCATACACAATAAGTCTTGTATATTGCAAACTATTCTAAATTAATATAATCTTGACATGCGGGTAGTAGCAGTAGTATGTAATAAAAAGTAGGTCTAAAAATAAGTTCTCATAAATGCAACATTAAACTTGCATTCGTGTTTAAATCTGTAAATTTGGCTTTTGGTAGGAAAATAAGGGTCAAAAGTCAAATGTAACTTTTTGTAAAGCTTTTTCCTTTGCTCCCTTTTTTTCTCTTATTTTAAGGTATTCTCACATAGTCTGAGCGTATGCTAATTTCTTCATTTTGTTTCCAGTCTGCAGAAATTGCAGAGAATCTAGTATCACGTTGCCATTGGGCAATTAATCGAATGATTTTTGGAAGAATTTGATAGCGTTTGTGATAGCTTTGTGTCTGAAGTTACAATAATGTCTTAAATTAAAAAAAAAATGTCGACTGTCCTGTCCTGTTCCTTCTCTTATTCAAGTTTCCAGATTTTGGATCATTAAATAAATTACTTACCTGCGGACTATTATTATTAATTTCGCCAGAGAAATAAATTCTAAGACTAAACTCAAGCATTTAAGGCTATCGGGCTTTTATTAAAAACTCTACCCACGACCATTGAGTTGCTAGTCGAGATTTCTCGACTTTAAATACTCAAGCGACCACAAGCGGACTAATAACTTGTGCGAATTCAGGCTTAGTCATGACGAATTTTCTGGTGATATCCGCTATTAGATTTTCTAGTACGATCTTGAAAGGCTACTTTTAACTATTTCTCCGTTCGGTCAAAAACGAAGGTGCACTTGTGGTGCGACTTGTACCACCGCATACCCGACCTTGTTTTTTACGTTTGTGATCATGACAAACTGCTGATCGTTAATTGTAAAGTATTCACAGTTCGTCTTGAGATGAACATAGTTTTTCCGCTTGTACTCATATTTCCATCCATTTGATTGAATGACGAATCACTTGCTATGAGTGGTTTGAGATGTATGTGTTTCTGATATTTTAATAAGCATCCGTAGAAATTCGTAAACACTTGTTTGCACCCTTATACGCGCTCGTTCTCTCTCATTCAAAGAAATAATTCATACAAACATGAATGTATTCATCATGTACACGCGTCCCTGAACTAGTGACATATATTATGATGATGATGTTGTTGTGTGCCACCGATGCCGCTGTAGTAGATGGTTGTTTCAAAAACAAAAAAAAAAATAAAAATAAAAAAATAAAAAAAAAATGGAAAAAAAGTTGACTTGAAAAGCAAATACGCTTCATACGGTAAAGTAGTAATCTTTTCAATAGTGCATATATATACGCATTCATCATAATTTTTGATATGTGCAATTGCGAGAGCGCCGAAAGCCCCAGAAACGCCAAATGCAACAGCAACAACGGCAGCAGTAACAGCAAATAACATCATCGACATCAACAACATCAACATCAACATTTCATAAAACTGAAATGTAAATAAATTTTAATTTCCATTTACATAACGTCGCGGAAATTGTGCATGTTTGAGCGTCCGTATGAGTGAGTGGCTCTATTTCATATCAAAATATAGCATCCATCCATCCATATAGGCAGCAAGCCGTCACATGTGTACGTATAAATATATATATATATATATATATATATATATATATATATATATATGTAAAGTCAGTCAGATTCTTTCATTCATTTGTTCATTCGTTCATTCCCATTATCAAGCATTCTCTGTGTATGTACGTAAATCGTACGATATATATTTTTCTTTTTTTTTTTTCATTGCTTATTTCTTAATCTCTGTCCATTCTTCGTTTACTTTCGCAGTTGATGTTTTTGTTGCGGTACTGCGATAACACCGTAGATAGTGGTAGTAACTGTCGTTGCTGCCAACGTTATGTAAAATCGTTAACAATTTTCCGCCGCACAGTCACAAAACAAATATCAAACATTGAATAATTTCCTTTACCATATTGTTGCTACGTTACTGTTGCGTTTGTTGTACGTTTACCTTCGTTCAGTCATTTCTACTTCATATTTACTTATTCTCATCCATCAGTAACGATAAAATGACATTTTTTTTTCGCTCCTTATTTCAGAGAGCCTAGATTTTACTTAACCCATTTGTTTTATGTACGAATTCAAGTTGCACGCATATAAAATACACACTTAAACCTACCTACAAATATTTATGCATACCTAAAGCTATATGATGCGCAATATATTGACGTTAAGAGCATAATATAACCAACCGACTATCCGACTATGTCATCCATATCCCGTAGAGAAAGGAAGATTATTATAGAAAGCAATATGTGCTTAGAGATTTGAAAAAAAATTTAAAAATGTTTACGCGATTGAATATTTATGCGCAGGAAGGGAAGCGTGGTTACCTGGAAGGTTTGGCAGCCCACTACAGCAAAGAGATTAACATGCCTTATGAGGATGTTTTAGATGCCATTGAATCGGTGCGTCTTTCAAAATGGAAAGAACGCCATTTACGCATGGTTGCAAGCGGTACCAGTGGCACTCATACCTTAAGACGTGGTGGTGGTGGTTGCAGCAGTAGTGGTAATAGCGGCATGGGCGTAAGTGCCTTGATAGCGGGTAATATTGCAAATCAATCTATATTACCGACAAGTCATAGTCAACCTTTATATGTGCCTGGAAAGTATCTGGTAAGAGTTTTACATTAAATATACATACATATATATATATATAATACAAATAAATGAATTTTTATCATTCATCATTATTATACCGTAGCCTTCAAGCTGTTTATCGAATCGAGAGGAAAATGAAATTTATAGCTATACTCAAAGCGATTTAGTGAACCGTATGGCACGCAATGCCATAGATTCGAAATCAGCTATTAATTTAAGTGGGGGTATCGGCGGTATCGCTGGTATGCAGCATAGTTATCCGGGTGCTCGTGCAAATTTTTTCCATGACTTCTCAGCAACAGGTATGTCGCTATGCAATAATAAAATGTGCAGATTAATAATCATTTATAAGAAAATGATTCAAATTGATTTACTATTTTTTTTTTTTTTTTTTTTTTTTTTTTTGCTTCTGCACGACGCGCACTACTTCATCCATCGTCGCTTTGTGTGGTGGTGCGGCACATACTTAGAGGGAAGAAATCGTCATAAACGCCGGACTGTATTTGCTCGTTTCTTACATGGACTACGACAGAGCGGCGACGAGTTAAATCAGTCAGAAGTCATGCAATTAAAGGTAAGCAAAGAGAACTAATACAAAAAAAAAAAAAAAAAAAAACGCAAAAGAGAAAATAAATAAAAATGAATAAATGAAAATTTATTCAGGAAAATGTAGAACAATAGGTGAGAGAGAAATAAAAGAATGCCTTTGTTGACTTACAAGTTGAAATTCATTGAACTCATCTATCATCTACCTTGGGCTCATTTTATTATTGAATGGAATCCAGTTTAAAACAAGTAAACTTAAAAACTTAATTTTATTCGTCTCTTATGCGATTGCTGATTGAACCCTGTAGGAATGAATTAGACGAGTTGTAGAAATTGTAAGATTAGCGTGAACTGCTATAAAAATGAACAAGAAAAAGGGACCAATTAACCAATGAAATCAAATCGTTAATCATGAAGGGCTACTATCTCGTTGAAAGCCATCCTTTCCCATCTATAGTTAGCAAAAGTTGCTCTGACTGGCTCCATTATGTTACGTTCGCTAGACAATACTATTAACTGGCTTGTGTCAGCCATAAGAAAAGAATTTGCAATGCGGTTTTGATTGAAAAGTGTTGCTCAGTACCTAACTAAAAATTAGTAAAAGTTATACTGACACCGAAGGTACTTATAACCTGAAATATTTTGAAATATATATTTAATATATATATATATATATATGCGATGAAATAAATATTCAGATTATATTCATTACAAATGGAAATTCGCTCTCTATTTGTATTCCGAGCAACAACTTACATATGGTGAGGAAAATTTAGCGGGCAAAAGTTTATTCGATCAAATATCGAAAATTCGCCACGATAGTTGATTTCGCGATTCTAAGACAAAGTCCGCTTCTCATAGTTCTTTGACTGTTTCATTCGCAAAGGAGATCTTGTTAGAAGCTTGAAAATTTGGTTTTTTTTTTTTTTTTTAGAAAAATAATGGGGGAATAGCGTAGTGGAGAGGTTGTCGCCGTTGATCCTGGCTAACAGAAAATGTAGTACGCACGCTTGTTCCTGCTCGTAACGCATCTAAAATTTTATAAAAATATATAAAGAGCGATGATATAAAGAGAACGTCATCACCGAGGGCCTTGTTCTTCTATTCTAGCAGCTCTTTATGCACTGCGGAAGAAAATGCGATTTGAAGCTTTCGTACTATGTCCAAAATTGAAATAAGAAAACAAAAAGAAAAGTAGTTCCGTAAAAATATTCTTATGAAAAGAGAAATGTTCAATGAGTAAAGGATTTGGCGGGGAACCTTTTATTAATCATAGAAAATAAATTTCTCCCACGTGTTCAATATGAAATTTAGTAAAAGAAAAATTTAAGTTACTTAAAACTTACTAAAATGTTTAACGTAACGGACGTAAAGGAATACGTAAGACGTAAGACAAAAACATATACACATATATATGAAAATCAATTAGAACTTAAGAGAATTAAGCTTTAGGCAATGAACTTTGTTTTCACATCGAACCGTTTATATCTACTGGACAAAGCGAGTGGATC